CCTGTTGCTTGTCACCTTCTTGCCACTTTCTCCCAGCAATGGACCAATTGTTTCCTTAACCTTTTCCTTGTTTTTGGAACAGTTCATTTGTGCCAAGATGTATAATAGCATCAATGTCACAGTCCTTACTTGCATTCTTGACTATCTTAAGAATACACTTCTTGTCTCTGCTGGCAGTAGCAACTGGCAGACACCTGACTTCTTTTAAAACCTCCATATCCTTTCCTAAATTTACATCCCTTACGATTGAATCACCAACCAGAAAGTGACTTGAATCCAACTTAAAATTTGCAGAGCAGACCAATTGGAATCAGTGGATCTACTATATCCAACTTAAATGTTTTCTATTTATGGTATCATCCAGATATATCAAATTGATCATATATTTTATTACGCTTCACTTTTCCATCACATATTGCCTTTTACTGTAACTTTCACTGAGTGAAATTAGGCAGTAGGTTTTCCAGCTACATCTATTGCAAAATTCCATGGTTATTACTGCTTTACTTCTATAATGATTATCTGAGTTCTAATTGGAGAGATTTTTATCCACTCCATCTTCCTACCTTCTAGGATCTGATCATGATGGTTAGCAAAGGAAATGCAGAATTGCTGGTATGTCAGCATTAGAAATGTTAAAGACGATAGATGTTTGCAATGGGGTAGGGACTGTATAAACCAAAGAATACCAGCAATTTATTATAAGGGTACAGAAAATACGTTTCGACTTAGTCTAGAAGGCGTTAAATGAGGTACTCATTTAATATCCTGGAATTATTGTGATCAGTTATTGGCTGGCTGTACTCCGGCAGTTACAGATATATAAATATGCCTGTGCTTCAGAGGTCGGTTCCTACTGGTTTCGGCCCAGTTCGGCCAAACCAGTAGTGGCATGCCGGGCAGGGTCACAGAACCAGCAGCGACCCAGGCTGGACACTCCTCCGAACTGGTTCCCTGGTTGCCGTTGTTGCCACCACCATCCTTTTTTTTTAGTTCTGCGCATGCACAGAACAATTTCTACTGAACTGTGTGCATGCACATATAGCTCGCATTCAGCACATGTATGAGCGAACCGGCAGTAACGCCGGGCAGAACCCACTTCTGCTGTGCTTATCATGTTCTAATCACCAAATAGATCACTATTTATATACTGAATTCAGACAGACAGAAATGCTGGCATTTAGAAGTGTCCTAATAAAATATTGGCTGTATTTACACAACATTGTAAACTAAAATATGGTTGGTCACTTGTGCTGTGCATTGCAAAGAAAGCTGTTGTACACTATTATTTAAAAAGAAAAAAGAAAACAATGTGTTTGGTGTAGAACACTCCTTACATCATTGCCTATTTATTGCTGTTCATAAGAAAACTGCGTTTCCTGAGAACGGATTTGATTCGTTTAAAAGATATAAAAAGGAGGAAGAAAACTGAGAAAATCAATAAATAAATGGACAAGAAAGCCTAGTCTCCCATTTGTAACCTAGCCGATCCTGAAGAAAATAATAAGCAAGCATTTCTGTGTTGATCTGGAGAGCATGACACTAATTTTTTGTATTATGTTTTTCTGTATCCTAGCATTTTTTTATGCATGGGGCACATTTGTAATTAAGAGCTGCAGGATGAAAAGATGGCACAGTCAGTGCTGGTACCACCAGGACCTGACAGCTTCAACTTTTTTACGAAAGAGTCACTGGCAGCTATTGAACAACGCATTGCCGAGGAAAAGGCGAAGAAGTCCAAGCAAGAACGCAAAGACGTTGATGATGATGAAAATGGACCAAAACCGAATAGCGATTTGGAAGCTGGCAAATCCCTGCCCTTTATATATGGAGACATACCTCCGGGAATGGTGTCTGAGCCATTGGAGGACCTGGACCCATATTACGTTAACAAAAAAGTGAGTCCTCTGCTGGGATTTTAACACAGAATTTGGGAAGGGGGGGGGGATTCTGCAGAGTCCTCTTTAATCAGTATATTGGAGGACAACGTCTATACCTCAGATTATTATCTCCTAAATATGGATTACTATTTTCATTCATTTATCCTCACAACTAAAGCAGAGGTGGTATTCAGGAGGTTCTGACCAGTTCTGGAGAACTGGTAGTGGAAATTTTGTGTAGTTCGGAGAACTGGTAAAAAACATCTCTGACTGGCTCTGCTCCATCTATTCTCTGCCTCCCGAGTCCCAGCTGGAGGAAATGGGGATTTTGCAGTAACCTTACCCTGAAGTGGGGAGAGAATGGAGATTTTACAGCATCCTTCCCCTGCCACGCCCGCCAAGCCATGCCATACCCACCAAACCACAGAACCGGTAGTAAACACTTTTGAATCCCACCACTGAACTAAAGCATTACTTGGAGAAAATACTACAATACTGTAAATATGTTATTCCATAACCCCGCCCCATTATTGTGAAGAAGTTTTATTATATCTTTTGTATTTACACAACTGGAGGAAAACGATTAGGGAAAAAATATTTAACAAAAATTACATGACATTTGCAACAAATCTTCATTTTATAGAATCAGTGTTTTTAAATGATTGAATCTGTTTAGCAATTGCCCTCCGGTTTAGTTCTTTTCGTACCAGTAAGGATGTAAATGCTTGATTTGGTTTCTGTACTATCCTACAGCTATCTGGGTGGCTGTTTGATCTGTAGCCTTAGAGCCACCTGAGTCTGACTCTGCTATAGAAAAAGAAAAGAAAAGAAATTATTGCAGGCAGAAAATCCTGCTTTCAGTTGAACTAAAATTAAAATAATTCTTTGGTCTGGTCATCTCCAGCCTGGTATCCTTCACATGCTCATCTCCCAGAATTCATAGCCAGAAAGGGGAAGGTCAAGTTTTCTAGGAATCCTATATGTTAACACAGCATTTGGAGAAGGCCATTGTAAGCCTTAAAGCAGAACATTATTTTTCCTTCTAATTTCTTCTATGAGTAAATATACAAGAACAGTAAGATACATGTTTTATACCCTCAGTAGATGCATATCAAATCCTGCTCAATGAGTAGCTTCCAAAACTTCAGTCCACTTCTTTATTCTGACTAGAGCCGTTTTGCTAAGAGCTAAACAAAAAGTAAAAGTAAAATAAGCTTCCTTTTTATACAACTCAGTTAGCAGGTTGGGTTTTTTTAATTCCAAAAGACTGGAGTTAATATTTTTAACTCCACTGAATAGAAGAAGTAGAGGGAGTTTTTTAGCATATAATCAGGCACATAATCACCCCGGCAGACATTGGACCACATCTTTAACTTAGAATAATTAGTATGGATATGGATGACATTAGACTGAGTCCTTTAACATAGTCAAATCACTTCCTGGTCCAGATGGCATTTTCACTGCTCATACTCACTACAGGGTAGATGGGCCCATGAAGAAGATCTAATGGATTGTGATTGATTCTGGAAGGTTTCTGGTGAGTTTCATATCATCTGCTAGGCCAGTGGTTCTCAACATTCCCAATGCGATCCTTTAATACAGTTCCTCATGTTGTGGTGACCCCCAACCATAAAATTGGTGTCTCGGTTCCTAAGACCATCAAAAATACGTGTTTTCCGATGGACTTAGGCAACCTCGATGAAAGGGTTGTTTGACCCCCAAAGGGGTCCCGACCCACAGGTTGAGAACCCCTGTGCTAGGCTGTTCCACTGAGTGCCTGGTGGACATCTGGCATGAGGTGGTAATTGGGATGCTTAGTATGATTCTTCCCAAGCATCCTCTTTCTATACTGGTTGACACTGGGATTGGAGTTGCAGGTGTTCTTTGTTTTACTAGGACTTATGGGACAAGACGTGCAACAATTGAAGTGCCAGTAAAGGGAAAGTAGGCTAAAATGTACCATAATCCGACTGAGCTTGAGTATAAACTACAGGTAGTTCTCACCATAACTGAACCCAAAACATCTGTCACTAAGTGATGTGCTTATTAAGTATTTGCCATGGTTATTAAATGAATCACCACAGTTGTTAAACAAATCTGCTTCTCCCATTACCTTTTCTTGTTGGAAGCCCCGTTGGTAGGTCACAAATGGTGATCACATGACTCTAGGACAGTGGTTCCCAAAGTGGGCGGTACCACCCCCTGGGGGGCGGTGGGATGACTTAGGGGGCGGTAAGAGGCAAGGGGGTGCTAAGAGGCTTTCCGTACTCCTTTTCGTACCTCGCCTGCCTAGAGGCACAGGTGCTGCTGCTGCTGCTCCCTGGTTCCCACGCTTATCTCAACCACATAGCCCAGCAGATCTCTGCCCGGTGAGTTTTCCTTTGCTTCTATTCTAGCTATCTCCCACATGCCCCAGCCAAGGTATCAATTCTTTTCCCAAGCTATTTCCCTCCATCTGGGCTCTCCCTTGCAGAGCTCAGCCTAGCATTCAGTTTAAAATCCAGGACAGGGGAGGAGGGCAATAGAGCAGCCAGGAGGAGGGGAAAAGGTTTTTCTTTTTTGCCAAGCTATTTCTTTTTTTCACAAGGAGAGGAGGAGAGAGGGAGGGAGGCAGAGAGGAAGGGAGAGAAAGAGAAGGAGAGAGGAAGGGAGAAAGTGAGAGAGAGAGGAAGAAAAGGAGGAAAGAAGTGAGAGAGGGCAGGAGGGAGAAAAAAAGTGAGAGGGAAAAAGATGGAGAGAGAGGAGAGTAAGAAAGGAGTGTGGGAAGGAGATAGTTGCATTTCCAACATCATATTTGGTGGAACGTGGCTTCAGTGTGGTCATCCAACTTCTCTCCAAGCAAAGAAATCGACTCCAGATTACTGAACGTGATGATTTAAGACTCCTGCTAAGTGACTTAAAAGCAGACATTGGGAAACTGATATCATTTCATCAAGCCCATCCATCACATTAAGAATTTACTGAACAGTGAAGTGGTTACTAAATTTTACTGAGTTTACTAAGTTACTAGTCACTAAGGTTCTTGATAAATGACTATCAGACTTTGAAAACCTGTTATCACTGTATCATGTTCAACAATTTTGTTGAATTATCTTTAACTAAAAGGGTTTTAAACTGGAGTTTGAATAAATTTCCAATTAATTGTTACATTTTTTAATTTTTCTGTTACTATCTTCCTTCCGTCGTGCA